AGTCTGATCATCTTTTATTGATTTCTGCTGCAACCTGAGATAGATAGAATCTGATTAGGTTGTTAGAGCTTCTTCAATCGGTAGTAGTGAATCGATTATACGAGAGTTAGTCGATTCACTGCTTTGTACTGGAATCTAATTACAGGACTGGAGTTCTGTGTTCATTGCCTCAGCGTTCTATCCCGGTGAAGACTAGTCGTCTGCCGGGTAGTTTGACTGAGAGGGCTTGGTCAGCTTAAGAGATTCCAAGCTATTGTCGGATCTTCCGCAGTAATTACAACTGTGATCTAACTAGGGGGACTCATTCATGAGTGACTCTTCCTTTGCTTCAGAAAACCGAACCAATTCCTGCTTTCTTACTACTTTTAGTTAAAACTACAATCAATCGACTTAGTTGGCTAGATAATAGATATTCACGGAGTAGGCAGTAGATCTAGACCCCGGGTTGATAATTAGAACTTGCCACTTTACTGCATTTCCGGACTGCGATTACACTTGGTCGCAGTTTGGTGTTGTGTTTTAGCGTGTCAAGTTTTTGGCGCCGTTGCCGGGGAACCTCTAGGTTATGGGAGAAGCGTGAAAGTTTGTTACTCTAACTTTTTCTTTACTGCATTTTCTCTCTTCCACCTGTGTTCCTTCACGAGTTGCTTTTGCTGATTGTGTACCGGTAGTGCATGACCCGTAGCCAGTCGGGAGATGTACTACCATTAAACCAGGAGCTTGAACGGACCTGTAGGAACTTCAAGCGGGCTCTAAAGGCGCGACTGACTGCGGAGGAGGCGCTAGCACAGCTACAAATCGCCGACGAAGAAGAGATGGTGACCCACAGAACAATGATGTGGTCATTCTGAGGAGCAGACCATGGGATACTACTGGACCGCCAGAGCCGCGGACATGAGGTCACCCATTCAGCACCCTCATGTGCCAGCGAATAACTTTGAGGTGAGAACCTCTGTCATCACCATGCTGCACGGTTCAGTGGTGTTCCGTGGCAAAGAGGGGGAGTGCCCCCGATCACAATTGAGGCGATTCCACGAGCTCATCGATGGGATCAAGATAAATGGGGTCCCAGCCGATGCCATCCAGCTGAGGTACTTCCCATTTAATCTGGAGGGGCGGGCCAAGGAGTGGCTAGACACTCGACCTCCAGGCTCGATCACCCCGTTCGCCAACCTGGCGGACAAGTTCCTCACTCGCTACCATCCCCCGTCCAAGACGGCGGACCTGTAGAAGCAAATTACCCACTTTGCTCAGGATGAAGATAAGACCATCCGGGATGCTTGGGAGAGATACACCAGTCTCTTCCTCAAGTGTCCCAACCATGGTTTTACTGGCTCCTTCAAGGTGGGCACCTTCTACCATGCCCTCTTCCTGGAAGACAAGCAGCTGATTGACTCGGTCTGTGGCGGGAATATGCTCACCAAAACACCGCCACAGCTGAATCAATTCTTTGAAGAGATGGCAGAGCAGGCTATGACTGGGGAACTGCGAGGAGATCGAGACGAGCACCAGGGCGGGGCGTGCATGTTGTAGCCACCCAGTCATCTGATTTGGTGCAGGTGGTTTTGAAACTGGTTTCAGCCATCGATCGCTTTGGGCTAATTGCAGGTACAGGACAGCAGCATGCGATGCACTGCCAGTGGTGTGAGATTTCTCATCACACCGTGGAGGATTGTTAGGCAATGATGGAGTCTTCCACCCCCCAGGAGCAGGTGGACTTCATCGGCAATGCCAGGCGCTTTGACCCCTACAGCAACACTTACAACGAGGGGTGGCGTCAACATCCCAACTTCTCCTGGGGTGGGGAAAATTCTAGACCACCAGTCCCCCAGGGACCACCTAGCTTCGAGAGGCCTCCTTACCAGCCCAGACAAGGGAAATTTCAGCAGCCGCAACAGCCTCTCTAGCCACCCAGACAGGAGCCAGTTCCACCTTAGTCACAGGTGCAGCCATTTCATCAGACAGGGGCAGCACCTGCAGCCCCAGTACAGAGTGACCCGATGGCGAAATTGCAAGATCTGGTGGGTTCTCTGGCCACCTCCAGTGCAAACAAGTTCATTAACATCGAGCAGCTCATGGAGAAAGCTTCAGGTAAATTCTTGGAGCTAGAAGCTGGTCAGAAAAACACGCAGGGTGTGTTGCGGGATATCCAGACCCAGCTTGGGAGTGTTTCCCAGGCTGTAGCTCAGAGGACTCCTGGTACTCTACCCGGTCAGACCATCCCTCACCCGCAGGACCCAAATGAGCACTGCAAAGCCATTACCACTAGGATTGGCAAGGTGACTGCTGATCCACCTGTTCGGGCACAAGAGAGAGAGACCCCTGCTTCGGCACTTCCAGCTAATGAGGAGGAAATGGATAAGGAGGTTGAGGTGCCTCCTCCTAAACCTCAACCAGTGGTGAAAGAGTATGTATCCCAGCTTCCCTTTCCTACTCGGTTGCACAAGGACCGACTAGAGACTGAGTTTGCCAAGTTCTTGGTAATGCTGAAGCAGGTAAACATAAGCATGCCCTTCGTGGAGGCATTATCGAAGATGCACAAGTATGCCAAGTTCATGAAGGATCTCCTCACCAACAAGAGGAAGCTTGGGGAGCTATCAACGGTGATGCTCAACGAGGAGTGTTCTGCCATCCTGCAGAACAAACTACCAGAGAAGCGAAAAGACCCAGGGAGTTTTACTATCCCTTGCATGATTGGTAGTTTGCATACAGGGAAGTCTTTGGCGGATTTAAGCGCTAGCATAAATGTCATGCCATATAAACTGTTTTAAAAAGCTAGTGCTAGGTGAACCCAGTGATACTAGGATGAGTATTCAACTTGCTGATAGATCCATTGTGCATCCTAGGGGAATTGTAGAGGAGTTGATAGTCGCAGTAGGGCCATTCTCATATCCTGTTGATTTTGTGATTTTGTACATAAATGAGGATGTGGATGTGCCATTAATATTGGGTAGACTTTTTCTCGCCACCGCCAATGCGCTCATTGACGTGAATGATGGGAAATTGATTTTGCGAGCTGGGGGTGAACAAATCACATTCTCTATTTCTGATAATATAAAACACCCCCAGCTCCATGATGATCTAGACTATTGTGTTTTTGTTGCTGATTTTGAGACTGCACTCGCCATCACAAGTGCGGGTTATGACGATTTCCTCGAGCTTTGACTTTTGCTAGGGGAACAGGCATCATAGGACGTGCAGCTGGAGGAGCAGCTCGCGGAGCTAGACGAGGTCGCGATCGAGGGGCGAGAGATATCATTGGAGGAGCCGCCAGAGCTGGAGCTTAAGCCCATCCCCTCTCATATGGAGTATGCATTTCTCCGGGAGGGGAATAAGCTCCCGGTCATTATTAGCTCGGATCTTACACCCGAGCAGAAGAGCAGACTGGTGGCTCTGCTGCAGAAGTATGCCCGGGACATGGCATGGAAGATCACAGATATCAGAGGCATTAGCCCATCCTTCTGCTCACACAGAATTCTGATGGAGGATGTGGTTAAGCCAGTCAGGCAGCCACAACGGAGATTGTCTCCCAACTTGGAGGCAGTGGTCCGGGCAGAGATTGTGAAGCTCTTGGATGTAGAGATCATCTTTGCTATATCTGATAGCAAGTGGGTCAGCCCCACTCAGGTGGTCCCGAAGAAAGGCGAGATGACTGTGGTCCCGAATGAGAAGAAAGAGCTGATCCCGATGCGGACCGTGACCGGCTGGAGAGTATGCATTGATTACCGGCACCTGAATGACACCACCAGTAAAGATCATTTTCCCCTACCTTTCGTTGATCAGATGCTGGAGAGGTTGGCTGGTCATGAGTTTTATTGCTTCCTGGATGGCATGTCTGGTTATTTCCAAATTCCTATTGCACCAGAGGATCAGGCGAAGACCACATTCACTTGCCCCTTCGATACTTTTGCTTACCAGAGGATTCCATTCGGGCTGTGTAATGCACCGGTGACCTTCCGGAGATGCATGATGGCGATCTTCGACCGACTGGTCGGGGAGATCATGGAAGTCTTCATGGATGACTTCCGGTTTATGGAGACTCCTTCATTGTCTCCATAACCTGGAACTCGTCATGAAGAGGTGCGAGGAGACTAATCTGGCACTCAGCTGGGAGAAGTGCCATTTTATGGTCCGTGAGGGGATTGTGCTCGGGGAGGATCGCGCGAAGATTGAGACGATCAGTAAGCTACCTCCTCTCATTTCTATGAAGGGGATTCGCAGCTTTCTAGGTCATGTAGGCTTCTACCGGCGCTTCATTAAAGATTTCTTGAAGATTGCCTAGCCTCTGACAAAGCTGGTGGTGAAGGATGCACCATATTAGTTCACTCCTGAGTGCACAGCTGCATTCGAGACACTGAAGGAGAAGCTTACCCATGCACCTATCATGGTGACTCCTGGCTGGTCTCTTCCTTTTGAGCTGATGTGCGATGCGAGTGACTATTCAGTCGGAGCCGTTCTGGGTCAGAGACGCGAGAAGCACTTCCAGCCCATCTGCTATGCGGGAAGCACTTCCAGCCCATCTTCTGGGTCAGAGACTCCTTCACTCATTGTCTCCCATCGCGCACGTGGGGGTTTGCGGAGAGGGTTGGATCGGCGTGTACCAAGAAATACAGTGCTCTTTCGCCTCAAGTGCCGTAAACACAATATCCTTCCTTCAAACTTTTCCGACATTTTTTCATTATGGTTAGAAGTCTCAACTGCTTCAGCCTGCAAAGGCGTCCAAAACTGGGGTACAACTTCATTAGCCACTGTAAGAAGATGGGGCGCTCGTGGTTCGAGTCTTTTTTCTTCGTCCGCCCTCGCGACAAGCCTTTCTTCGAGAGTGGCGCTGCGCCCCTAACTTAGTGGTCCTTCGGGGATGAAATTGAGTTCAATAATCACCCCGACCTCAACAAGGCGGAGGAAGACATGGCGCGGCGCTCGCGTCTGTGACCCTGAACCTTGAAATAAAAGACGAGTATGCTCGTCAATTGGCGGAATTCTACGCCAATGGTAGTCTCATGCGCCTACTCTCATGCACTTTTTACCCGCTTATGCGCCCGGCTGACGCACATTTTTTTTCCAGGCACAGTGTTCACCTCCGTCTACGACCTCATTCGCTCGAAGATCAATCTCATCCCCCTGCGCCTCGTGCACGCGATAAGGCCAACAAGGCGCCCGCCACGCCGTCACATCCTCTACACAAGAAGCCTGTGCATGTGAGGATTGTTTCCTCCCCCGCCGTGCCGGCGAACCGCGCGCCTTCTACTGCTGACACCGAGCCACCCCAGCCATCATACAACTCCCCCATCCACATTGACGACGAGAAGGCACCTCCCCATCGCAACAGAGCCAGGGTGCCTCCCGCTCCCTCCAAGATCGAGGCGCCTCTCACTCGCCCCGCAGCCAGAGCGCCACCTCCCAGACTCCTACATGCGCCTCCCAGTCCCAGGCGCTGGAGAACAAGCCTGCCAAAGAGCCACTCTTCTCGGCCGCGAAAAAGGCTAAGTTGGACCGGGTGATTGCTTCAGGCGTGCCGTCCAACTTGGTAATTTGTGCGTGGGGGAGCACACAGGGAAGACGTTGCCCCCTATTTTCAGCCTCCTTACCGCCCATTGGAGATGGTTGCTGTAGGCGTGCCCGTCAAGGCGGTCAAGGACCCCAGCGCCGCCATGCAGATGGTGCTATCACACGCTGCAGTGATCGAGCGCCCCGACCATCTCAATTCCAACCGCCCCCTTCACACCATGGCCAACCTCTCCATCCAGGTAAGGCGCCTGTCTCTTCAGTTTTCTAGGTTTCTAATTGAGCCTTCTTTTCATATGTCTAAGTCGATAACCTTGTTATATTGTGTATGTGCCAGATGATGATGCTGATTGAATCCACCGCGCGTTAATTCGATCGGATGGCTAAGGAGAGTTTAGCCTTCGACGGTACTGTTGAGCGCCTCAGTAGTGAGCTGGACGTCGCCCGTGACACGCATGAGGCTCTGACCCACGCCCGGGACGAGGCACAGAAGGAGGCACAGGCTTGGGCCGCTAAATTATCGACCGGCCTCGAGGCGGAGCACGAGAAGGAGTGCCAGGAGCGCTACGAAGCACAATCCGCCGCTACTCAGGCGGAGATGGCAGAGGTGGAGCGGAGCCTGCGCGAGAGCCAGGCGGAGGAGCGTGACAAGTATCACGCGGAAGCGGAGAGGCGCCGTAGCAAGGCGCGAGGGTTCTCGGAGGAGCTGAAGAGGGATACTAAGGCCAAGGATCAGTACCGAAAGGAGCTGCAGGATTCCCAGGATGAGGCAAAGCGCCTCAAGAAGGATTTCGCCGTGTACCTCAAGTCGGAGGTGGGGAAGAACCTCGTAGCGGACACCGTGATCGACACGGTGAAGATCCTTCAAGAGGAGTTCAGCCAGGATCACCCGGAGGTAGAGTGGGACTCCATGGCCCTGATCATGCATATCATCAACTTCATGGACAGCGGCCGCAAGACAAGTGAGCTGGAGCCCATTGTGGGGTTGGATGTCCCACTTCCAGTCACCGATGAGGCGCTTGAGGAAGGAGAGGCGGAAGATGAGGGAGATGGGGACGCTGAGGGTGATGAGGGCGCTGGGGACGAGGAGGAAGAGGGCGAGGGTCAGGGGGATGAAGAAAGGCGCTCCGCTGAACCACAGGGGACGCCCGAGGGTGTAGTTCGGAGTGAGGAGGAGTGATCGGGCGCCCTCTTTATTCGCCTGTTTTTCCACCTACTTGTTAATTTCCCTTTCCTTCATTGTAACCTCGTGAACTCTTAAGTTAGTGAGATTTGGATTAGTTCGAACCACTTTACGCCGCCTTCTTTATGCGTCTCTTATTGCGGGCGTGCGTACATAAGGCGCTTACTTAACCCCACCCTGGTGCATATTGCTCTTCGGGAGTTAATCAAAAACTTGATTGCACCCCAGTTATTCGTAAGGGCGCTGCACGAAAGGCCTCAAGGGACACATTACGGCGCGTAGTGAAGGGCGCTTTACGAAACTGGATTGTGAGGGCGCGTAGTGGGGGCGCATTGTAACAATTGCGGACACAATTTCAAAGCGCGAAAGTAGGGCGCTTTACGGCACCGACTCGTGGGGGCGCGGTGTGGGGGCGCATTGTAATAATTGCAGACACAATTTCAAGGCGCGAAAGTAGGGCGCTTTATTGCGAACGTTGTCATAATATTAAGGCGCAAAAGTAGGGCGTTTTACAGTACATGTCCTAATCCTATGGTGCAAAAGGAGGGCACTTTACGATCATGTTTCTACGGCGCGTGGGGTGACGCGCTTGCAGTAATAGTAATTCCCCTTACACCTAACCAACTAACCCTTGAATACTGGCCAAAATGTGGGCGCCCCTCCCTGTGCTACAGTCGCGTCACTCGGAGATCTCCCCCGCCTCTGTCCCGTGGTACACTTTGAGGTTCTGTGCATTCCACGTTCGCTTGATGGCCTTTCCTCCAACGCGCTCCAACTTGAATGTGGCCGGCCCTATCACCTCCCGGACACGATACGACCCCTTCCACTTTGGAGAGAGCTTTCCCTCGCTCGACTTTGGTCGGAAGTCGCGTCATAACACTAAGCTCCTAGGCATATCTTGTGGAAACGCATCTTACGATTGTAATACTTGGCCACATGTTGTTTCATGGCCTCGAGGAGCACGGAGGCAATGTCTCTGCGCTGCTCCAGCAGGTCGAGGTCGTGTATGCGCTCTCCCCCATTGGCCGATTCCTCATATCCTGCCACCCGATATGTGGGAAAGCGCGCCTCCACTGGGATGACCGCCTCGCTGCCATAAGTCAATGCAAACGGCGTTTCCCATGTCGCCACCTTGTATGTTGTCCTATGCGCCCAAAGCACGCCCGAGAGTTCTTCAGCCCATCTCCCCTTGGCTTCGAGTAACCTCGTATGAAGTCAATGTAAGATGCTCTTGTTAGCCGCTTCCGCCTGCCCGTTGGCTTGGGGGTAAGCCCACCAAAGAGAAGCGCAAGACAACGCCACTTTCGTCACATAACTCGATGAATTCGCGGCAATTGAACTGCTTACCATGGTAAGCTACTATCGACTCAGGCAGCCCGAACCGAGAGAAGATGTTCCTAATCGTAAACTTTCTGACGTGAGCCTGGGTGATGGCTGCCAAGGTCTCCGCCTCCACCCATTTTGAGAAGTAGTCCACCGCCACAATAAGGTACTTCATCTGACTGGGCGCCTTAGGGAAGGGCCCTAACAAATCCATCCCCCATTGTGAGAACGACCATGCGCCCACGTTGCCTTGCATAGGTTCTTGCGGGACGTGCACGTCATGGGCATGAAGCTGACATTGATGGCAGCTTTCCACATGCTTCTTGGCGTCTCTTCTGATGCAGGGCCAGTAGTAACCTTGACGCAACAGCACCTTCTCGAGAATCCTTGCACTCGCGTGCATGCCACAGGCGCCTTGGTGTACCTCCGCTATCGCTCTTTCTCCCTCGGTCTCCGTGAGGCACCTCAGGTAGGCCCCCGAGTGCGACCTCTTGAATATCTGGCCTTCTAAAATCGTGCAATGGGCAGCCTTGCGCCTCGCCTGCCGTGCTTGCCTTCTCTGTCGCGACAACCACGGCTAAGGCTACCTTCTCTATGGGCGCGTATCGCGTCTCGGGACCCGTCATCACTTTGCTTACATAGTACACGGGTCGTTCTTCCCCTTCTATCGCTGCTCTCGAGATGAGTACCGCGCTAACCGCCGTCCGCGAAACAGCAATGTATAGGTACAACACTTCTCCCGCCCGAGGCACCGTCATAACAGTGGGTGGCACCAAGAGGCCCTTCAACTTCTCGAATGCCGCATCGCACTCCTCCGTCCACTTGAAACGCGTGACCCTCTTCAAGTCCTGGAAGAACGGGGCTCCCTTATCGGCGGATCATTGGATGAACCGCCCTAACGCCTCTAGGAGCCCGTTTAGACTCTGTACCTCCTTTGGCGTTCTCGGAGGCTCGAGGCGCACGATGGCCTCCACCTGCTTCGGGTTGGCTTCAATCCCACTCTTTGTTATCATGAAGCCCAAAAACTTGCCAGATTTTGCGCCAAAAATGCATTTGAGCGGGTTAAGACGGAGGGAGTGGGCGCGCATTGTCTCGAAAGTTTCGCGCAGGTCCCCCAGGTGGTTCTCTCTTCTATTGCTCTTGACTACTAGGTCGTCCACGTATGCCTCCACGTTCCTCCCAATATGCCCTTTGAATACGGTGTTCACCATCTGCTGGTAGGTTGCCCCCGCGTTCTTTAACCCGAAGGACATGACCTTGTATCGGAAGTTGCCAAAGGGGGTCATGAACGCGGTTTTTTCCGGTCCTCCTCACACATGAGAATCTGGTGGTAGCCGAAAAACATGTCCAAGAAGCTTAGCGCCTCGTGGTAGGCGGTCGCATCCACCAGCTGGTCGATGAGGGGCATTGGATATGCGTCCGATGGGCACGCCCGATTCAGGCTCGTATAATCGACGCACATCCTCTAGTCGCCCAACGTCTTGGGAACCAGCACCACGTTGGATAACCATGTCATGTACTTCGCCTCCTCCACGAATCCAGCCTCGAGCAACTTCCCCACCTCCTTGCGTAACGCCTCTTCCTTCTCCTCCGACAAGGGTCTCCTTTTCTGCAATACTGGGCGCACGCCTTTTTCTATCGACATGCGATGCACCGCCACTTCTGGGCTTACTCATGGCATCTCTCGAGCGGTCCATGCAAAAAGATCCGCAAAATCCTTCAACAATCCCACTAACGACTTGGCCGCCTCACCACACGTGTGGGCGGAGATGCGTACACACCTCTCGGGGCACCCGTCCCTCCAGAGGCACCTATATCTCAGCATCCACCGTTTCCGCCCTTGGTAAATCTTCGGGCCACACATCTATATTGTACATCCGCATCCTCTTGACAAGGCGAGCTTCCTGCGACGCTTCACCCCTCGATACTCCTACTCCCTTCGGAGTGACGAACTTCAGGACCTGGTGACACGACGACGCCACCCCATTGAAGAGAGCTAGGAGTGGGCGTCCCAGGATGGCATTGTAGTGGGAAGGACAATCTACGATGCCGAAGTCCACGGTATGCATGACCATGTGCTCCTCCTCTCCTACCGTCACGGATAGACTCACACGCCCCACAACTCGCGCAGGCACCCCTGAAAACCCTACCAGGACCGTGTCGGCCTGCCTTACAAATACTAGGCGACAGCTGCATCTTCTTAAAAGTGGATCGGAACAACACGTCCATTGAGCTCCCTGTGTCCACCAACATCGTTTTCACCTCGCACCCGGCCACCACTCCTCTGATCTCCAAAGCTTCTACCGATGTAACCCGACACGCCTCCTCACGCGCCTCGTTGAAGTGAATCCGTATGGCGGCGCGCGCGCTGGCGGTGGCTGATTTCAACCTCCTTCCCTCCTCTAACTTCTGCCTCAAAACAATCGTGTCGGAGATGGCCACGATGGTCAGCCTCACCCGCGGGGGGTTAGTTTCTAGCTCGACCTCAAAGGGTGGGGGGGGGGGGTAATTCTTTTCCTTCCTTCGGCGCCTCCTTTCCTCCGAGAGCGGTTCCACTCTCGCGGACGCTCCCTTGGGGTGCCTCCACTCTCTCCTCCTGCTCCATAAAGGTTCACTGTGCCTTATCCTCCCCCTTCTTCACGAATTCGTTCAGCATTCCCCTATCCACTAAACCGTGGATTTCTGACTTGAGTTGGTGGCAATCGGCCGTGTGATGCCCCCTTTCGCGATGGAACTCGCAGAACCTATCCAAGTTCTGCTCGTTGGGGCGCCTCCTCATGGGGCCAGGCCAGCGGAGATGGTACCCCTTGTCCCTCGCGTACTGTAGGACGTTTTTCAGAGAGTCGTTGAGGACGGTGAAGTTGGCCGCACTCCGTGGCACGAAGCGCTGCAGCTCCGGTCGGCGAACATTCTAAGGGTAGCTTTGAGGATTGGGTGTGACGTGAGACATCCGGGGAGCCCGCGATCCCTCTGTCTCTTCGGGGCGCGACTCTCTTTGTTCCATTCTCCTTGCAGCCAACGTCTCCTCCAACATTATGACCTTCTGCACCCTACGGTCCAAATCCTCCGTGGACACAACGTCCCGCTTCGACAGCGCCCAGCAAAGCTCCTCACTGGTGGTGCACTTGTCCAAACAACACCCCAGGACCGGGGGCTTGACATCTTTGACTGTCATCGCAACCGACATCCATCGTAAGGCTCCTGCGGTTCCGGCTGGCGAACTTCGAAAGGAACATCGCCGCAAATTGCTCAAAGTTGTCGATCCTCCCCTCTTCAATTTGATGATACCAGTCTAGCACCACGCTGACGAACGTAGACGAGAAGGCACGGCACAGCGTGGCGTCCGAGCTATTATACAGCTTCATTTTGGTGAAGTAGTTGTTCAGGTGGTCTTCCGGGTCGGTTGTACCATCATAACTAGGAAGCGCCGGTATGATCGAATTGGCCTGCTTTGTTAAAACGCTTCGCGCCAGCGGTTTCCTGACTCCCCAGGGGCGCCTGGGCGCCCACTCATTATGCTCATCGGGGTCCGGCGCCATGTGCCAGGTCAGATGACCTAACTCCTCCGTGCGCCTTAGAGCGCTGGACATACCCTCTTCGTTCTCATCTCTCTCTCTCTCTCTTCCTTCGCTGGGATGAGGTGCGGTGTCCCCCCCCCCCTTCTTCAGAGCTTTCAATTCTTTCCTCAACGCCTCAAGCGCCTGGTCTTGCTCCTCGGTGATAATAATCAAGTGCTCCTTGGTGAGCGTGACGCCCTCGGATTGGGCTGTCTCTGGTGCTTCGTCTTCTCCTCCAGTCTCCGCCGCTTCTTCCATGATCCCTTTCGCTTTTAAGGCTATACTCTCCAACCTGGCGCGACAACTGTTTATGCCAAGTAACCCGACGACCCCGATGACCAAGGTTCCCTCCTACTCTAGACTCGTTCCTGCCTCACGACTCGCTCCTGCACACGAAGACGCTCACCGAACTCCTCACTTGGGGCTTGTTAGCCCTCCGACGCCCAAGTTAGAACAGTCTTTCTAGAGAGATAAGTAAAGTGTAGTTTTAGAGAGAAGTTCGAACCTAAGTAAATGAGTTCCACCAAATTCACTATTTATACCCCGGGTAGGGTCGACCACTGCCCCCCAATTCCGCCCTACGTCATCACCTCATTAAATGCATTGTACCTTACCGCTGGCATGTGCCCCGACATTCTGACATCAGTTCTCGACCCCGAGGCACATGACCCCACATTATGTCTCCTCCGTATGTTCCTGGCCATTGCCACCTTTGTCGTTATGCGCCTTACGTCACGCCCGGTCCCACCACCTAGGTTACAGCCCCCAGCCCCTTTTGGGTTGGGCCTTCCCCTTGCCAGGCCCGCACTTCTGGCCCACTTCGACTCTTTGGGCCCCTCCTTTGTGCCCCCAACAATTGCCCCCCAGTTAGGCGCCTGCCATTTGGTAGGGGCCTAACTACCCTCGACGTGCCGAGAAGCCCCTCCTGGTCCTGATTCGCGCCCCTTTTTCCACTTCTCTCCCTGGAAGAGCGCGCTTCGCCTGGAGTCTCCTTGCCCGCCCTTTGTTTTCTTCTCGACTGCCCCCGTCCGTGGCTCGGCTCTCTCCTCCTCCGCTGCCTTGCGTGTCACGCCTCCACTGAGCGCCTACACTCCCTTCATTATTTACTCACCTACTCCTTTCTTTTCCATTTCTCCCTCGTTAATTAATTTTATCTTTTTCTTTTTCCATTTATTGCGGGTGGACCGTTGGATTTCCGCCTCGCCCATCGGCCCATTCTCTCCCCCCAGGCCGAAGCAAATACAAATTTCGAAATTTTAATTTGCCTCAGCCTAGGCGACGGTTCGCCTCCCTCGCTTCGCCCTCTCTCCTCCTTTTTGGCCTATAAATTGCCCCCTGCTTCTTCCTTCCTCATTCTGCCAAAACTCACTATCTCTCTACTTCCTCTCTCTAACTTGATTTGCTCTACTCTCAAGTGACCCGCGCGCACCCTCGGCCATCCTCTCGGCCATCGCTGCTAGGCGCCTCGCGCTGTTGTGATATTTCCTCCCCCACCTTTCATGCTCCTCCTGCCATGGCTTCGATGGCCTCCGACGGTACTGCTGAGCGCCTCCGTAGTGAGCTGGACGCCGCCCGTGAGACGCATGAGGCTCTGACCCACACCCAGGACGAGGCACAGAAGGAGGCCCAGGCTTGGGCCGCAAAATTGTCGACCGACCTCGAGGCGGAGCGCGAGAAGATAAAGGCGTCCGTCGAGAAGGAGTGCCAGGAGCGCTACGAAGCGCAAGCCGCCGCTACTCAGGCGGAGATGGCAGAGGTGGAGCTGACGAACCGGGAGCTTAAACGAATAATTGAAAAGACGGTTGATCAGGCCCGCAAAGATTGGTCCACCAAGCTCGATGATGCTCTCTGGACATATAGGAATGCCTATAAAAAGTTGATTGGCACGTCCCCCTATAGGCTTGTCTATGGGAAGGCGTGTCATTTGCCAGTAGAGCTAGAGCACAAGGCCTTCTGGGACATTAAGCTGCTAAACCTGGATTTGAGTGTTGCAGGTAATGAACGTAAGTTGCAGCTGCTGGAGTTGGAGGAATGGCGTTACCACGCCTACGAGAACACCCTGCTCTACAAAGAATGAACCAAGCATCTCCACGACGCTCGGTTGAGGGGCCCGAAGGAGTTTCAAGTAGGTGATCGTGTTCTGATCTTCAATGTACGCATGAAACTCTTCCCAGGCAAGCTACGTTCGAGGTGGTCGGGACCCTTCACGGTCACCCAAGTTTTCCCGCACGGTGCGGTGGAGATCAGCAATGCTCAAACTGAGCCATTCAAGGTGAATGGCCACCTCCTAAAGTTGTACTTGGGAGGTGCTGTCGAGCGCGCAGAGCTGTTGATCAAGCTCGAGGACCCTTAGTTCCTCTACTGGCATCCAGCTAAAAGACGGTAAAGAAGCGCTTGTGGGGAGGCAACCCCACCTAGGTTTGCATTTTCTTCCCTTTTCCCTTTTGATTTTTTGTGTTTTTGAGTCGTGAGGTGTTGTCTAAGAGTCGAATGTCGATTTTGCGCGAAAACAGGACAAATTAGGGGCTCTGGCAATCCACACGGCCAGACCTAAATCCCACACGGCCGTGTGGAATTGGCTTCTGGCCATGTGGAGGCCATGGTATTATCACACGGGCAGCATGGGTCCCTCACACGGCCGTGTGGAATTGGCCTTTTGGCCGTGTGAAGGCTCGGCAATTTCCACACGGCCAGAACTGCTCTTTCACACGGCCTTGTGAAATTCCTCGGCCAGGCCGTGTGGTTTTCCCGGCTACACACGGCCGTGTGGCCGTGCCCGTGTGGCCGACCTGGCGCCTACAAATTTGGTCGACACGGCCGCGTCGCCAGAATATCGCCCACTCGTCGCCGGAATCCTCTATCCCTCGCCGGAAAACCGAGACTTTTCGCCTCTTCGGGGATTTTCCGGTCATTTTTAGTCGATTTTTCACCAAACCAATGCCACACCCAACCTTTCCTCCCCATTTTCGGCCTATCCCTTCATTTTGAGGCGATTTGGACCGATTTTGAGTCGCCGGAGGCGATTTCCGGCGAGGCTCCGACGAACATTTCCGGGCAGATTTTGAGATTTTCGTCACCTCCATTTCCTTCCCCTCATCATCCCCTACACCTTTACTTGTGTCTCCAGGTTTGATTTTGTAACACCCTACCCTATACGTTTTGCCTAATCATATTGTTCATACAATTGCAGCGGAAATAATCTCGGGTGTTACATTAATTATCAAAATTTACCAAAATAAAATTTCGACATGAATTAATCGCGTAATGGGCTAACAGTTCTTGCAACTTATCCTACAAAATAATTCATCACAAACATATATACTCACAACCATATGCATTGGCTTTTCTTAGCCATAGTCACACTTTTCATATTCCACAACTGCATACCATACTTATACATACTATAATCGTCACAACTTACACAGTTACACAACATATACACATATCAACAACTTTCCACACCTGTGGATATCTCACACTACATCAGAAGCTAGTATGCACATGAAAAACGTTCTCAAAACATTTTTACAAAAAGGTGTGGATCAATGGCCAAAATCCCGAGTAGTAGTCCAAGCACAGAATAGTTGAAGACCATACCTCATCCTACCTTCAACTCTTGCTCAGCTCTCACCTATACACCTATCTACTGCTGCTGCTGATGATCTGCTTACACATAGCAAAAGCAGAGAAGAAGAATAAAAGAGGGTCAGCTCATAGCTGAGTGAGATAATCATAGCATCGTGAGTTCATAACAGAACATACCCCTACCATACATCTAGCAAACAAGCCAAAGCACTGGGATCATATCTCAGCTCTGCGACATCCCAATAGGCAAAAGACTCAACCACCTTGACTTATGCATATGCATCTTATCATGTTTTACTTATAGGCACCTGGATACTCCCATGCTAATAACTCTCCCGGGAAACATACCCCACATCCCGTCGGATGTAGTCATACATACCCCAACATCCCGTCGGATGTGGTCATACATACGCCACACCACTATGGGTGTAGTCATACCCCGACACCGCTCTGGGTGTGGTCATATCTCATAAGAATTCTTCAGTCACCACCACATGAGAGGTGTGACTATCATACATATCATAATAGAGTAATAGCATAGGGAGCCCTAATTACGCAATTAAGCATTGGTGGCCAGTCAACACAAAGCATTAAGCAATTCCATGCAATAGAGATTGGAAGAAGAGAAATATAAATCAATCCATCAAGTATAGAAATAGCTACATCCTATGGTGTTTCCCCCAGAAATTGGGGTTTAGTTCATGACGAAAATAAAACACACAATGATGTTTATGATCATCATCGTATCAATTAAAGCTAAAGGAAAATACTGAGATTCTTGAACGTAATCTCGGCACTAGCTCCTTCTCGCTCCAATCGTTCGCTCGCAAGTCCTGTCGCCTGCGCTGCTCTCCCCGCGAGCTTGGCGATCTCCCAAAAAGAAGTCTCGTCCTTTTGCCCGGTCCCCCAGATAATTTAGTTCCGTCCCAAATTGCCTCTTTTCCCAAAGAAAATTCCCGTCGCCAACTCCAATTATTCCCCCCTCTAAAATTACCACGGTCTGGGCCAAATAAAATGCCCCTCTTCCATTAATTGCTCCCCCAGCTGCCATTCTTTTAATTGGCCGGCCCAATAAATCCACCAAAGTCCCGATCCAAATTGGAAAATAATTCACTCCAACTGGGCTAGCTCAAGAACCCGGTCCAAATTGATATGGTGATAGACTTGATTTGTGTTCGACTTATCTGTCTGCTTGTACTTCCACAATTTCTATCTTTCCACCTAAAATATATCAACATTCTAATACATGGTGGTAATGATCATATAAACATTCCGGAGTCAGCTGGCCTTAAAACAAGCAATATATGTATCAAACATGTCATGAAATAATCACATTAAGCACATAATATCAATATGTTACGACAATTATCACAACCCCACACTCAATACTTGCTTGTCCCTAAGCAACGACTCGAACAAAAGAACGATAATTGGGGGAAACACAACACAGACCACACAGGAACAACCTTGCTCAAAACACTCGACCCATGGAACACAAACATTAACACCATAAATTTACCCTTGTACTCTTGTGGTAATCAGTAGTTTCTTTCTCAAAGGATGAGTTGTGCTTTAATAATCATACCTTTCAACCCACATTCAAGGTCTTGCAACCCTTTAACATTGACTTACTCAAATCCACCAAAAACTCAATTAGAAAACACTCAATTCAGGTCGTCGGTAGTGGGTGGTTAACAACTTATGTTGCAAGAGTTATTAGGAGTATCTAACCACATCAGTGAGGTGAATATCTCGTGAGGACAATCTGGCTTACTCACACCAGTCATAAACAATTAACTAAGCATGAGTCTAAAAAACAAATGGGGGAAGCTTTTGGCAAATTTGGTTTTAACTTTAAGCACATCACTACCTTTCTGACAAGGAGAGGCTTTCTCTCTTTCTGATTTTGCTTGCCGAGTGGTCGTATTTAGTACAAGTGGGATTTGTTTCTTACTACCAGTGACCGAGCAAGAGCAATTTCTGCTTCTTAGCACTCGCATAAGGGCTTCTTTTAACTCCTTTTCCTTGATCTGTGTGGAGGGTCGTTGCTCATCCTCTAATGACACTTCACTCAACTGGGGATTGTACTTGATAAGCAACATCGTACGGTCGCGAACCGATTCTCAATTGAATCTTTCCTCATCCCCATGTGCAATGAGTGATTGCCTCACACGATTTTGGCATTTTTACCCACACTTTCATATATTTTACTTGTCAGGTAGTGTTTTCTTTTATGAAGATACAGTTCACCCCATCATAAAACAATCAAAACAGAGAGACTCATTGCAAAATCAAAAGCTCACAATTGATGCAAGTAACCACGATATCCAAACATGTCGAATGGTCAATGTTCTCCACCTAACTACTTCACCAAAAGTCATTACACTATCCTCACAAAAGAGAATGTTGCTAAAAGAGTTTGCTAATTTAAAGCACATCAAGTCAGTCAAAACATTCAAGCTCATTGTGAAGAATTATGCAATTCAACACTAGTGGGGTGATTTTGATGATTTCATTCAAGCACAAACTCATTTTCAAGGCATCACGGTCATTTACATCATGTTACCACAAGAGTACAAGGTTTTGTTTTTAATTTTTCTGATTTTTAGGTGTTTTTTAGCCATTAGCTTTGCACAGGCAGACTGCACCAGCACAAGTGGATTGCATGCAGTTTGGCTGTGCACAACCCAAATGACAGTTATTTTTTATTTTTTTTTACCACATGCAATAGGGACAAACAAACACTAAGACTCACCACCCCACACTCAGGATGGAACAATGTCCCTAATGTTCAACTCCTAATCTAAACATGCACGGGTTTGACACAACAAAAAAAAATAAAGAAAAGAAAACTTACCTTGGGTTGCCTCCCAAGAAGCGCTTGCTTAACGTCCTCAGCCTGACGTTCATGGAACTTTCAACCAATGGGTATGGAAAGGTATCTAGAATACCCTCCCGAGCAATGATAGAACGCATAACCTCCATCCAACATATGAGTCACCTCTGCAGGGCCAGTTGTGCGAAAATTTGGTGTGACCTTCTTAGTTGGCATGTTGGATCCTTTAGTGACGCGTAGGTGGTATTGCAGAGCCTCAAGCAAGTACTCGTCCTGTTTCAATGTCAGTGAAGAAGGAATAATAACAGGAAGATTGAAATCCTTACCCAAATATCTATACTTGAGGTGACCTGGCAAGGATTTCTGCCCTTGCTTTGATTTCAGACTTTGAGTTGCTAAGACATGTGATACTTCAGCTGATCCACTATCACAGGAAGATGAATTTTTCCTTTCTCGAGCTCTACTCTCAAAGTCATCAAATTCATTGTGATTATGATCAACTTGAAAGACATTAAAAATTTCTTCCTCCTTACCTACTCGGAATGTCAACTTGCCTCTCCCGACATCGATGAGTGCATCACCAGTGGCTAGAAAAGGTCTACCAAGTATGAGAGGCACTCCCCGATCTTCTTCCATCTCCGGAATCACAAAATCTGTTGGGAGAATAAACTTCCCAACCTTCACCAATACATTCTCCACCACTCCTTTTGGAATTTTCACTGATCGATCAACCAATTGGAGAGTGATCCGAGTAGGCTTAAGAACATCTCCCAATCCCAATTTCTTGTAGACTGAGTATGGCATCAAATTAATTCATGCTCCAAGATCACAAAGTGATTTATCAAACTCTCTACCTCCAATGACACATGGAATGGTGAAGCTGCCTGGATCATCCCTCTTTTCTGGTAATTTATTCTGAATCACGGCACTACATTCAAAAGTAAGGGTTACCTTCTCCAGATCAGCCCATTTGCGCTTCTTCGTCAGCAACTCCCTTAAGAATTCAGCGTATGTAGGCATCTGTTCAAGTGCCTCCGCCAACGGTATGTTGATATGAAGTTGCTTGAAGATATTCACAAATTTCTTGAAGTTCGGGTCTTCCATGGACTTCATTAACCTTTGAGGGAATGGTGCGAGAGGTTCATAAGGCTTTACCTCTTCATTCTTGAATTTTTCCACCTTTGGAGGTGCACAGACAGAATGCTCATGCACAGGCAGATTGCATGCAGTTTGCCTGTGCAAGTCAGATTTTTCAGCTTTTGCACTTTCTTCCCCTGTAGCTGCTTTGCCTCCTTTTCTACCGGATTTTTCTTGCTCTTTGGATCCTCCAACTCCTTCCCACTCCTCAATGTGACTGCTACAACCATGGCTTCCTTCGGTTTCCTCTCAGTATTTGCTGGTAAAGTCCCAGGAATCCTACCTTGTATATCTGCCAAAGTTTGAGCCATCTGGCCTATTTGCCTCTCCATAGCTAGCATAGATGATTGCATATTATTGTTGATGGGTAGCTGTTGAGTGAAAAATTGATCAAGACCCTTGAAATTATTGTCCGTTTTCTGCATATGACCCAAAATCAACTCCTCTAGTTGGGGCTTCTTCTCTGGTTGAGGATGTTGCTGTTGAAAACCAGGAGGTGGGATGTTTTGAACACCAGCTGGATTATTGTTTGACCATGACATATTGGAGTGATGTCTCCGTTGAGGGTTGAATGTATTTGAATACATACCACCCTGGCCTTGACTTCGCGAATTATTGATATATTGGACATCTTCCAACTGAGCAGCTCCCAGTGGACACATATCCCTATGATGAGCACCCTCGCAAAGTTCACATAAAGCAACCTCCTCTTATCTAGCCAGAGCAATCTTGGCCAGCCTTCGTTCGAGTGCATCGAACTTAGAATCCAGCTTGGCATCTATCTTGGCTTTTAGACTCTCAACTCTGTTTATCTCATGCAAGCCTCCTCTTCTTCGAATACTGGTCTCACTACCCCATTCAGTGGCTTCTGAACATATCTTCTCTACAAGTTCATATGCTGCTGGAGCCTCCATCCTTGTGAAACCATTTCGAGAAGCATTATTTAGGGCATCCCGAAACTCCCTTCTGATTCCATTGAAGAAAATAATGATCACGTTCCAATCTTCAAGACCGTGGCTTGGGCATCTCATCAATAGCCCCTTATAGCGCTCCCATGCCTCAGTCAGACTCTCATCATCAGCCTGCTTAAAAGTAACAATCTCTTCTTGCCTCTTCATTGCCAAGGCAGGTGGGAAGTATTTATCCAGAAAGACCTTTTCAAGCTGAGCCCATGTCGTGATGGAACGTGGTGTTAAGTTCTGAAACCAGTGTGATCCATTCCCTATCAGAGAGAATGAGAACATCCGAAGACGGATTGCATCATCAGACACAGTCGGGCTCTTCATCGTATCACATATGCTCGCGAACCGGCGGAGATGTTCATGAGGATCCTCACTGCTAGCCCCAGAGAAAGTATATCCATTGGTGATCATGTTAATAAATGTTGGGGTAATCTCCATGGTTGCATCCCCAGCCGGAATGACAACACATGAAGCTCGGGCTTCAGTCCGTCGATTTAAACGAGCCCTGATTGATCGATCCTCGTCTGCCATGATGTCTGGCTCAATGTCACGAGGTGGTGGTGTCGGTGGTGTAGGGACGAGAGGTGATGAAGCCTGCCCTCTCTGTTGACGATTCTTGGTTAGGGAAGGCCTAGGAGTTGTGGTTGTGGTTGGCTGCTTCCCTAACTTGACCTGCTTCCTGTTTTGTCGGCAGGTCCTCTCTATCTCTGGGTCAAGTGGCAGTAAATTGCCGGTCGTCCTCCTGGGCATGCACGAGGAGGATAAACCTGAAAAATTCATGTAACACCCCGAATTTTGGGTTATGGTTCGACCATAATACGTGATCGGTTGGGTTGACAGTTGCGTACTAAAGTTGCAATCGCGGTTTAGCTATAATAATTATTATTATTATTATTATTTTATTATTATAAAAAATTAGGTAAACCCGACCTGGGCCGAGCGGCCCTTCATTTATTCCCCAGGCCGCCAGTTCCCCAATCACCGCCGCCCTCCTTTCTTCTTTCCCAAACCCCAGCAAAAAACCCGACCTTCCCATTATCACCGCCCTCCCCAGCAGCTCTCGTCCAAACAAGCCCGCTGGAAGCCTCCACGCCACCTTTCATACAGTGCCGAATCATGGAGCTCAAGAACGGTTATGGGAGAACCCGTAGCGATAGTGAGGAAGTAGACATCAGCCTCCCCATCCATAATGAAGGCGAAGAGTTCGGAGTAGGCGCTGTCGTGAGCTAGGGATTCTGGCCAGGGGAAGCGCCAGGAAAAGCAGAGATCAAATCGGAGCACACTGGCTTAGGAATGACGCCATGGCTAGGGAATAGAGCGGCGATGGCGAGTTCCTCGTCATGAAGAGTTTCAGCAAATCGGAGCCATGGAATCTGATCGCTTCCAGATCACCGACGGAGGATGGATCTCCTCTAATGCTGAAGGCGGTGACTTATTCGTTTCATTCATCGCTGATTGTTTTTCGAAGGACCTGAGTTAAAATAGCGTTGCAAAGATGGAGAATTCGGAGGAAAGTGGGAATCAATTTTATCTAACCTCGATAAGTTCATGGTAGCAAGTAGATTAATCGAGGGAACTGAGAAGAAGACGAAGATCATCCTCCTTTATGCCGCCAAGCCCACCTGCCGATCTTTCCTCTCGTTACCATCACCGTCCCAATTGTTGTATGTGAAGGGAGACCACCAAGGAAGCGTGATCGACAAATGGCAAGCTGGATTATAGATCGCAACCGGGGAGCCAAGATCAACAAATCATTGACGGCCTGTCGCGGCCTCGAAGGCAGATTGGAGATGTCTTCGATTGTGATGTTGGGCTGCTCAGGGATAAAGGGAAATAAATAGTCCATGATGACTAACTCTTTGAACCGATTACGAGGTACATATGTTCGTATTGAGAAGAAAAGTGGGTTATAGGTTTAGGGCATCGATGCGATCAACATATATATATATATCAATTTTGGACCTTTGTGCATGGGGATGGGAACATATCCTTGGGAATATTTGAGAGAGGAAGGTGACCTCTCTTTAAAGGAAGGAAATATGTTCTTTGTCATCTCCGCAAGGTGGTTCTCTTTCCTCACAGATATATGGACGGCGTAAGAAAAGAAAAATAGTTCAAAGGGATAATGGAATGGTGTAGCCACGGGGGAGGTTACATGTATGGTTCATGTAAGGAGAGATGACCCTAAGTCGATTAAAGCTTGGATGGAGGCTAGTTTAAGTCAATCCACTCGGTGCTAAGGTGAGTGTAAAGGGGGTAAATTCTATGCCTTATGTATTCTTTTAAGTATTATGATTTTAAGTATTTTAGTGAATTGGTTACCATTGCTTGATTATGTGTATGATTGCTTATTTGTGCTTTGCTTGAGCTATGATGAGGTGATTTTGTGCTACTTGAGGTGATATGAGGTGACTTTGTGCTATTTACCTTAAAACGTTATGTTTGAGTTATTGTTAAAGTTTAAGAAACAAGTTCTTTTTAAGAAGTAACTCACCTTCAAGAAGGTGAAGTCGTTTTAAGTGTTTTTAGTCACTAGCGCCAGTCCGTTGCCATTTGAGATTTTCAGGTAGAGCAGCAGTTATGCTCTTGAGATCTTTGAGACAGAGCAGCAGTTATGCTCTTGAGACTTTTAAGATGAGCGGCAGTTATGCTCTTGAGAACCGTGGTGAAGAGCCACCACGATAAGTTTAAGATGTTAGGGGGATGAATCGTTACGACTTCCCTAACTAAGTTTAAGTTTAAGGAAAGCCTTGATGGCTTCTCATACATATGATTTGGCAACAAGACTAGCTAGTGGGGGATCCCAGTGTCAGTCAAGTATTTAAGTTGAGATTTAAGCTTTAAGAATGGAGAGTAACATTTACTCCCATACAGTTTTAAGAGTAAAGATTTTTAAGAGTGGAAGTACAAACAACTCCCACCAGCTTAAGTTAAATATCTAAAGTAAAATACTCAAGTACTAGATTTTAAAACGTAAGGGCGTAGACTGACCCCAACTCACTCACCAGTTTGTAGAGGAAGAAGCTAGAGGAGCAGTTAGAGAACAGCGGGATCGAGAGAAACAGTTCGAGTGAAGCTAGCTAGAGGAGGACGGTACGAGCGTCACAGAGGATATCTAGTCAGAGTTCTCACACAAGGAGCAACACATGAGACTAGTTAGTTATTATGTTTTATGATTATGAGTATAGACTGGAGATCAAGTTGAGTTTTTAAAGTTTGAGTTTAATTTGCCCACACGTTAGGGCTTTGCTTTGAACTACAAGTGTGTATTTTCAGTATTTTATTTATTAAAATTTTTGCCAGTTGAAATTTAAGAATTGAGTATTTTATTTATCAAGGGAATTTTAGTAAAAGTAGTACCCAGCCGGGTTAGGGTGTTTCAATTCACCTGCACACTAACACCCAGACCAAAATAGTTCACTCACAAAAATCAACAAAAATAAGGTATGGCAGTCCCCGGCAACGGCGCCAAAAACTTGATAGGGCAAAAGCGTAATGCCTCGATTCCTATCTTGTAGTAAACCGAAAATTCGAGTATCGTCTCTCAGGGACTGGTACAACTTTAAGTTTTATCAATTTATAGAGCAAACTATAAGTGAAAATGGTTTGAGAGATAAACTAATTTCTAAAAGCAAAATTAAATAAAAAAATTAAGTAATGAAAACTGTCGGGAGAAATTCAATGGAGAAAGCTCTGGGAGAAACACCAGGACTCACTACCTATCATATCAAAATTAATTCACATATTCTAATCGGTTTAATCCAATTCTCTATAGCCAGGATATCACGAATGTGCTAGCTATCCCTGTCGGGAATTACTACGTACTAAACAATTCATTCAAATCCTACTGTCGTAGCTCAATGAATTAACTATTTAGCTTGAAGAACGATATCCAAATCAAGACCGCATAGTACCTTATTTAATCCACTGCCGCTTTGATAAGTTACTATGTCACATGAAATATGTTAAGTTATTAGGGTTTCACTGTCGCTAATAACCTAATTAACTACAAATCATTGTATTGGTGGCCAGTCAACACAAAGCATTAAGCAATTCCATGCAATAGAGGTTGGAAGAAGAGAAATATAAATCAATCCATCAAGTATAGAAATAGCTACATCCTATGCTGTTTCCCCCAGAAATTGGGGTTTAGTTCATGACGAAAATTAAACACACAATCATGTTTATAATCATCATCGTATAAATTAAAGCTAAAGGAAAAATACTGAGATTCTCAAACGTAATCCCGGAACCAGCTCCTTCTCGCTCCAATCGCCGATCGTTCGCTCGCAAGTCCTGCTGCCTGCGCTGCTCTCCCCGCGAGCTTGGCGATCTCCCAAAAAAATGTCTCGTCCTTTTGCCCGGTCCCCTAGATAATTTAGTTCCGTCCCAAATTGCCTCTTTTCCCCAAGAGAATTCCCGTCGCCAACTCCAATTATTCCCCCCTCTAAAATTACCACGACCTGTGCCAAATAAAATGCCCCTCTTCTATTAATTGCTCCCCCAGCTGCCTTTTTTTTTAATTGGCCGGCCTAATAAATCTACCAAAGTCCGGGTCCAAATTGGAAAATAATGCACTCCAACTGGGCTAGCTCAAGAACCGGTCCAAATTGATTTGGTGATACATTTGATTTGTGTTCGACTTATCTGTCTGCTTGTACTTCCATCTATCTTTCCACCTAAAATATATCAACATTCTAAAACATGGTGGTAATGATCATATAACCATTCCGGAGTCAGCTGGCCTTAAAACAAGCAATATATGTCTCAAACATGTCATGAAATAATCACATTAAGCACATAATATCAATATGTTTTCGACAATTATCAATAATTAAACCTAGAGAAGCATTAAAATCAACTAGACAAACACATTCATTCAAAAATCCTAAAATATTCATTCATTACATAATAGCCTTTCAACTAGAATTTGAGGTTTAGAACCATTAGTAACTTAAGAGACTACTCCATAAAGGAGGAAAGAAGATACATACAAAATTTGGAGAAGACTTGATGTTGAGGAAGATGACTCCTCTATTCTAACTTCGCATATCCCGGCTCCTCCAGACAGAATGATGCGTGACGGCGGAATCTCACGTATCGTGGAAGTCGAACTCTTGTATGAAACTAATGAAACGCGATAAAGATAGCTAATTTACTCTAATTTACTTTACTCTTATTCATTGCTTAACGAAACCCAAAGAACAATGTACATATTTATAGGAAAATGTAAGAAAACCTAATAGCTAACCCTATCCCACTCTAACAAGGTAACTAATAACTTACTCAACAAGACACAATAAACTAATACGGATATCCCTACAATAATCACAATAACATGGCAATTAACTAATAATAATAATACCCTAATAACTAAGCCCAACTCGGCACCAAGGCCCACGGTGCTATTCTCCATCAAACCCCTCCCCTTCGAAAGAACCTTGTCCCCAAGGTTCGAGTTAATTAGGCAACTAACTCAAACCATACTCAACCCGGATCGATGAAGAAGAAGCTTCCACGTAGCTTGTGGTAGACGATCTTGAGAGTTGTATGACGAAACTCAAGCTTTCGATACTTCCAATTCAGTTTTAAAACCCAATCGAATCCTCCACGATTAGCAGTTTCAATCCTTTCTAAATCCTCCCCACCTGGGTCGAAGCATTCGAACCTTCCAAAGCGAACTCTCATTCTTACGTTGGTGTAACTAAGTTGCTCCCAATTGAAAATTAAGTAGTCCACCAATCCATGGAGCAAGGTTGCCCTCTCCACACTCAAATGCAAACCCAGACTAATACCATGCTCTTCATGGAACGTGTAAGCTTGCTGCAGCCATTCTATTTGCTTTCCACTCCCCAACAAACTTTGCCCTGCTCCACTCCATCCTTTGGACGCGGCCTCTGCATTCGCCTCCCTAGAGCTAGACTTCACCCCATAGAGAAGTCCTCCGGTCAATCCACCCATTCGAGACCGAACGTAACCGCGAACCAAACTGTTTCCGGTGGAATTGCTTGCGATTCCTCTCTGATTCACTCCCGCTCCGGCCGCCTCCTCAACACAAACTCTAGGGACAGAAATCTCAACACCCGTGTTACATTGCGCGGGACTAGTGGCACTAGCCTTTAGCTTGACATCGTCGGACACGTCCGTCTTAATCCGTTGCAGCCCCAACGCTCCAGATCTGACGCCACGCCAATTAGTGGTTCGTTGCAAATTGAACCCCGCTGCCATGCCCTGTTGGAGCCCCCCAACCGTGCCAACTTCAGTTTTCCGGCCGTTCTCCTTGGCTATAATCAAGCGTTGTGCCTTGTAACTCAAATCGACAGCGTCAACCTTCGCTGCATCAATGAATTTTTTGATGAAGTGCTTTGTCACATGGCCTCCTCTCTTAGCGGTTGATTAATCACCACCAGCGTCGAACCCTAGCTGGTCCCCTTGTTTCTCGTTCTCTCCGAGGTTTCCCCGCGCCGCTCACGTTGCCAGTGAGGCCAGCCCTAGTGGTCCTCTCATGCTCTCCTCCTGCCGGACCTCCTTGGCTCGGTCAGCCTTGATGGTCGCGGGAGCCATCACGTCAACCAGCTTCAAGGACGTGGTAGTCATACCTTTCCCATTCAGCGAATGGTCCCCGTTGTCACCCTCAATCGTCGCCAGAAACTCCACGTATCTCGAGGAGAGCTCTTCTAACTGTCGATCCCAACTCTCGGGCCGCTCTTTCCATGAAGGTCGATCCGACAGAACATCGATGGAAGGCTTCGCTGGTATCCTCTCCAAAGCTTCCTCCGGCGTCGAGGCCTTCAGGTGGCTGGAAGGCACGCCCGCTCTCATGTAGCCGAACCCTAGCTTCGCCATGTCCAACGTCAATGGCCTGGGTTCATAGGACGACATGAAATCATCGTCATCTTTCCTCTTGA